GCCACTTGCGTGCTGTCCAGTGGACCGCCCGTTCTGGTCCTGGAACGGACGGTCTGGGCCCAATTTCGGCCCAGCTCCTCGCTCGTTCGTGGTCCGTTCGTTCCGCCTTTAGCAGTCCGTCCGTTCTGCCTTTGCCAGTCCGTCCGTTCTGCATTTCTAGTCCGTCCCGACTGACTTCGATTGCTCCGTTCTCACTCGTTTCTTACCCGAATCGCGCACCGTTTGTTTCTACACCTTCCTTGGAACGTCTTCTTTCATGTTCAATCAATAGATTATTGGAAAATCACGTTTACACGATGAGGTACAACTCGAAACGTCCCTACCTCGAATAACTTGTGAATTCCGAATTTCCAGGTTCTACTCAATTTTCGTTTGCTCATAACTTCCTCGTTTCCTAGTCAAATCGAATGTGTTTTCTTCTAGATCTTCATTGTAATATTCTCTGTGTTTTTTAGTCTTGTTTTACCTTCCTTTTATTCCCGAAATTAATTTAAATAATTCGTACGGGAATCGGGGTATTACAATTCCTTTTCATGTTATCGAACCGTCGATCAAGAGACTTGGTTTTGAGCAGAGCTATATGGCATGTGGGCGTTTGCCCTATGTTTGTATCAAAATGGAATCCGTATCACACAACTGAGAAGTCGGTCCTAACATCAATATCGACTTGGGTTTCTCTGCGAAACTTGCCGCACCAAATTTACACCACAGACAGCCTCAACCGAATCGCAACAGCCATAGACAACCCTCTTTACTCGAACAAGGCAACGACAACCAATGAAAACGTATCGGTGGCTAGCCTTTTTATTGAGGTGAATCTTCGTCGAGTTCCTCCTAAGAATGTGGTGGTGACACTTACGCAAGCTGAGACAGGGGAGTAAGAACTGGCAGCTCCTCCGTCGATTCACCACCCTGATGTTCCAGACTCAGTCATGGTCTCAGATATGGAATCAGCCCCGGATATTCTCGGTAAACAGCCCAAACACTCAAACCCACTATCAAACACTAACCCAACAACTTCTCAAAAGCCACCCATAAACACTACCGATCGAGCCACCTCCTCAAAAAACCAACCCAAACGGCCCAAACCTGATGATCAGGAATTTATTACGATTACTCCAAAATCTCGTGGCCATAAGGCCACGAGGGGGAATTAATTTTTTTTAATACAGGGATACCCATGATTTTTGTCTGGAACATAAGGGGCATAAATGCTCCAAACAAAGGTTTTTTGATGTGCAAGTGGATTTAGGAGAACAAGCTCGGGATAGGAGCTCTTTTGGAAACACACATTCATCAAAGTAATACAGAAAGGATCACCTATGCTATTCTGGTGGGATGGAAACATGCTTCATTTTTTTACGGACTGTAACACAGGAAGAATATGGATTGTATGGGATGCGACTTTGAATGTCATGATTTATAACCACTCTAAACAGGCTGTTATGTGCAACATTGAGGATGACCGACATTAAATCAGGATCACAGCTACGTTTATTTATGCCTCCACATTAGCGCCTGAAAGAAGGTGCCTATGGGAAGAGCTGAAAGAGCTAGGATGCTATCCACCAATACAACAATCCCCATGGATATGTTGGGTGACTTTAATCAAGTCCTTACGCTGATGGAACGCTTAAATTTTCCCACTGCTACGAGCCATCACCAAGGGATGCACGGGTTACGTGACTGCGTGGAGCAGGCCGACATCTCAGACATTCCCTACCGAAGCTTAGCCTTCACCTGGTGTAATAACCACACCACGAAACTCCTCTATGTCAAGCTAGATCTGGCTATGACAAACACCAAATGATTGGAATTTTTCCACACAACTTATGCGGAATTCACAGCCCCGGGACACTTGGATCATGCACCTTGCATCGTCCATTTCCTGGACAATCAATGTAAGGTGGTCGAACCATTCAAATTTGTTCACCACTTATCTTTGCGCCCTAAGTTCCTGCAGATTGTGCGGCATAACTGGCGAACATCTGAAAATTATGGGGTCGCCCCAATACCAACTGACTCGCTCCCTGAAGCTAATAAAACAACCCCTTCGAGTCCTCAATCAGATGCAATTTTCCAAGCTCTCGCGGAGAGTCCAGGCGGCAAAGGAAACCCTATCCAACATTCAGGAATGCATCCTAGTCGCGCCATCACCGAATCTGACGGAGGAAGAGAAAGAACAACACCGACAGTATTTGGTTCTTGCATCAGTAGAGAAACGGTTTTATAAACAGGAGTCTAGGATCAATTGGCTTTGACTTGGTGACAAAAATACAAGTTTTTTCCACAGATGTGCAGCAACCAGAGCAGCAAGGAACCATGTACATTACTTGGGGGTAAGGGATCCTCGTATGACTACTCTAACAGTGGCTTAGTTGCAGAATTTGATCTCGTATAGATGGTCCGAGGAACGTGCCGAGGAGCTAGATGCTACACCATCGGAAGTAGACATCAAGAGGGTTTTGTTCTCCTTACCGGCCAACAAAGCTCCAAGGCTCGATGGTTACCCTAAAGAGTTTTTCACAGAGAGTTGGGATATTATAAGTGGTGATGTTATAAGAGGAGTCCAAGATTTTTTTACCATGGGGAAGTTGCTCATACAGGTGAATGCGACTTCAATAACGTTAATTCCAAAGAAGCAAGGGGCCACTCAACTAGGGGATTTCAGACCCATAAGCTGTTGCAACATTATTTACAAGATCATCTCAAAAAATTTAGTCCAAAGATTGAGGTTGGTAGTGTTAGAAATGGTATCTCCGAATCAGACAGCTTTCTTGTCCGAAAGATTGATGATCGAAAATGTGCTCTTGGCATCAGAACTTATATGGGAATATAATAGGAGCTCAACAAGGAAATGTGCTATGACTAAGGTTGATATACGGAAGGCATTTGATGTTGGTTGTAATGTTCTAGAATGATCCGTAATATGATATTTAACTATGTATTGATTCATTGATTTATGAATGCATTACTTTTTCCATTATATGATTGGCATTAGGGGTGGGCAAAATAACCGAACCCGACCGATAAATAATCGAACCGAACCGAACCGAATAAAATTAAATAACCGTTTGGTTATGATTTTTTAAAACCCGAAATAATCGAACCTGAACCGAACCGATCCGATTAAAAATTATTAACCGTTTGGTTATAAATTTTTATAAACCGAATTAACCAAACCCGAACCGAACCGAACTGAACTGAAATGTTTATATATCTTCATTTATATATATTTTATATACATATATGAATGTTTATATTCTTGATTTTAATCATTGTTTAATTTTATTTTAAATGTATTTTATCATTGTTTTTAAAGTTTATGTGATATAAACATTAGAAAAAAAAATGATCTTTATTTATTTAATATTTTTATATCAAAATATAAATTTAGATATTATTATTTTATATGTTAAAATAATTATGATAATATTTTATATTATATTTTATTTGAATATTTTTAATTATAAATGAATTAATTTTTTAAATATTACAATCGAACCGAACTGAATCTTTATTTGATTATAGTTTGGTTATAGTTTTAAATAAACAAAACCGAGCCGAACCGAATCGAACCGAACCGAATCGAATAAAATTAATTAACCGTTTGGTTATGAGTTTTAATAACCCGAAATAACCGTAACCGATTAACCCGTAACCGACCGTTCCCCCTTATTGGCATGCTTGTTTTATTTCCTTAAATTACCTTGAATCATTACAAAATAATTCTAAATTCCATGGTCAATCATTATCGTGGGGGTGATGATGAATTAAGACCAGCATGAGGTGTGATTGATGATCATGGTAATGATCATATGCAAATCATAATCATGGATACTCGTTGAGAACGAGTGACTGGATGACCCACATCAGATTGTCACATGGACATGAATCATGACTTGAATCTCATATAGCGGTTCGTTCTTGGATCTTCAGACATGAGATGTCTAGAGTATCTGATATGAGCAGTGGCATGTCTTGATTGCATCAAACGTCGTCTTTTAACCGGATGATTATAACGGTGTCGCTCAGATACGTTCACGAATCATATGGAGATAGTAGACATGCATACGGGATTTGTCACCTCCTTAACAGGAGAGATATTGTTGGGCCTCTCATGGAAGTCAGACTATGAAAAACGCGTGGCCACGCTATAGATGAAGTTGCATCTATTTTATTAGTTGATATGTCAATACGAGAAAACAGTTGAACTTGAAGGATGACTCAAACCATGTCGTTGTTCAACATATGATATCGTGAGACAAAGGATCAGAACTCTAGCTGTTAATGCCTTAGTTAGATCACTCTAACTCAATTCTAGGTGGGTGGTCATGGCGTTTTGCTAGAGACTAACCATGACTTATGGTTCGAGAAAGATTCTCGAAGTCACTATCACTTAGAATGAGATTACAGGGTCACATACCACTAGGGATGGGCTTATATGTGAGGAATACGAAGAAAGAAATTGAGATTTGACCGGAACGAGCATGAAAAAGAGTTTTTAGTGTGTTGGTTCAGAGCAGACCAAGTTTGGTCAGACCCAGACCAAATTTGGGCAGCCCAAGAAGCCCGAACTCAGCCCATGGTCACATGTTCAGGTGTGGTCCGTCTGACCAAGAGTTGCTAAGCTCCGGACCAGATATTGAGAAGAACTTTCTAATGATGTAGAGAACACAAGATTTGGGCTTATAGAATGAAATTTATTGGACGTGCAAAATCTGACGTTTTCTAAGCTTAACGTTTTCCCTAGAAACACTCCAAATGTTCCTGTTTTGTCCTGATTTTCCGTAGTCCATGTTTTCCACTCCTTTTGCTCTTTTTATGCGTGAAAACCTATTTAAACACCAAAGAATACAACCATCCAATATCGAAACCAAATGTATCCTATAATGCCTACAAATATGTGAAACCGAGTGAAATGCACTAGACATCATATATCAAAACATCATATAAAATACGTGTTATCAATAACTCATCTCTCATTTGCAGACAACATAATGATATTCACACAGGACGAGTTACCTTCTTTGCTGGAAGTTAAAGACACGCTTCACTTATTTGGGGAAATGTCGGGATTGATCATCAGCTTTGAGAAGTCCGAACTGTTTCTATCGGGCATGAACATCACTGAAAAAGAGGCTTTAGCATTTGCTGTTGGTATTGGTTTGGGAACTCTCCCGGTAAGTTACTTAGGTGTTTCGCTGAGCCCGGTACGGCTAGTTAAGGCTGATTTTGCACCACTCGACAAGATCAGAGCAAAGTTGGCGAATTGGTTGAACCGTTTCCTTTTAGCTTCTGGTAAAATTCAGTTGGTTACGTCTGTAATTTATGGAATGGTGAACTCTTGGAGCATGACTTTTGTTTTACCTAGCTTTGTGCTCAAAGAGATCGACAGCCTCTGTTCCAGATTTATTTGGCAGTACTCAGTAGATAAGACGCTTAGCCACTGGGTTTCTTGGGAAGCGATCAGTAAACCTAAAGAAGAAGGGGGGCCTCAGGATCCGACGAATTCAAGAACAACACATTGTCTTCTAGCTAAAGCTAATTTGGCTGCTTTTGACAAAAGCGGGATCACTTTGGGTAGCTTGGGTCAAGAATTATGTCTTCAGGGGACGCACGTTTTGGGAGGCTGGGACTCGACTCCTAGCACTTGGAATTTGAAGAAATTGATACGGATAAAGGACCTCTTTAGACAATATTCCAAAGTCTAGATAAGTAGTGGTCTGAACACATCCTTTTGGAATGATAATTGACTGTCGATGGACCCATTGATTTCGTTCATTGGAGCTTGGGCCCTCGGTTGTTGAGAATCCCTAAGGCAACTTCGATGGCTGATGCAACTTCGGACGGGAGCTGGAGCTTGTCCGGAGCTAGGAATGATGGCATTCAGCAGCTGCGCGTTCTCCTAATGCAGATGGAGCCCTCAAGGGAGGACAAGGGGACTGATGCTTATCTATGATGACGAGGGGAGGATGATTTCCGACCGACTTTCTCGTCGAAACATACTTGGCAGCAATGCAGGAGTCCTAGCACAGAAGTTACTTGGCACAAGCAGGTCTGGTTCAAGAGATGCATTCTGAGACACACATTTCTGGCGTGGCAAATCCTCCGAAGGTGACTCTCGACAGCGGACATAATAGCTCGGTTGGGTATGGAGGACCCAAATCGTTGTATTCTATTCTGTCGAGATGCTGAGTCGCATGAACACCTATTTTTTTCATGTGAGTATAGTGTCTCGGTTTGGAATTTTTTCGCAGGAAAGTTTGGAAGACCCCCTCCGATGGAAATCTATGGCTGCCAAGACTGGATCCGTCAGGTTAGGGATGTCGATCAAGCAACGCGCGTGCTCATCATGAAGTTGTTCACGCAGCTGGTAGCATATGAAGTATGGAAGGAAAGGAATGAAAGAATTCACCATGATACGAGGACTATCGTTCATAATTTAAGGCTTAAGATTGATCGATCTATGAGAAACATCTTATTCTCTTTGCAGAGTCCAACAAATACAAGCATGAACCCCATCCTAGGACATTGATATCGGTTAAGCTAGGCTAATTGAAGCTTTTGTTTTGCTCACTTGCGCATAGAAATCCTTTTTTTCTATAGTTTTAAAATGTACTAAACACTTATTTTTGGAGATAATACAATCACATTCATACCAAAAAAAATATATTATATATATATACACATACATATATATACACAGATACATAAATAGGCATTTAAATTTGGCTGTTGCTTGATCGTTGCACCAGTTGGTTATCTGTACAAATCTCATGGAACCTTTTTTTGTAGTACTCCATTTATATAAGTATAAACCGTTTACTAAAAAAATATATCCAATTAGAATTTTAACTATCTTTAAATTCAAAGATCTGTTTATAAAATTCCAAAAATACTATACAAATTAATTATTAGTTTTGTTTTTTATTTTGAATCATCTGAATAATAATAAATTGATATTATAATTATATAGCTTTTAGTATTTTAAGAAGCTGTGGGTTATTAAAATCTGTAAATATTAAACATTTTAATAGATTACGTTCTCTTTATAATTTTATTACTAACAATTGCTCCTATATAAAGCACTCGCGTTGCCTTAGGTTAGAACGCTTTAACCGTTCCTCGAGGCCCACAGAGGGGGAAAACAGCAACAACAAAAAATCCATCGGGCGCGTGGATCTTCACGCGCCTCCTCACCGGAACGATATGGCCTCCGGAGCAGATGGGATGTTTCGAAGCATCTTCGAGGGATGCCTCTCCGGTTGCGATGCCGCAATCGAGCGGCGTCCGTACCACAAGAACTGCAGCTGCGCTCTTCACGACAGATCTAGCGGCGGTGGAGTCACCGGGAAAAACCAGAGTCAGCGGCGGACCTGCCGTCACGGGATGTCGGAGAGCGTCGCATTCCCGATCCGGCGGTCATGGAGCGAAGGCAACGTGTTGGCTCTGCATCTCGCGCCCTCGTCATCTTCCTCGAGTCTCCAATCTCTCTCGTCGTCTTCGTCTCTGTCGAATCTCGCGCCTGCATCGGAATCGCCCTCCGATCCTCCTGTTGCGGTTGAGCCGAGCGGATCTCGTCAACTGAGGTGGACGATCGATGGGGAAGACGATTTCTCAGTTCAAGGTTTGAAATACTAAACTCCGAATCTGCTAATCTGTTCTTTGGTTCGTTTGGGAAACAATGATTTTTTTTTTTATCTATGAATGGAGAGAGGTTTCATCAAATCAAGGTATAAAAAACTGAATCATCTGCGAGAATGGGGCGTCGTATTTGTATAATCTGTCATCTTCTTTTCCAACCAAAAAAAATGGACTCCATGCCAAATACCTTGAACGTGTAATTTTCTCTGTAGATTCTCGTACCAAGGACCTTCATTTGTTCATTTAATTTATATATTACATTTATATTTTTTTGCTTGGAAATTGCAAATTCAATGGTTTTGTTCTTCTTCTCATCCTCCTCCACCTTCTCTATCTTCATTCTATGGTTCTTTGATTATTGTTGTTATTATTGGAAATTATGTCTCTGATTCATATGGCATTATATCAAAAATATCCTTATTTTGCTATTTCTACTTCAAGAACTACCCTTGTGACCATGTGACCAATGTGATCGAAATATAGTATGGTCACATTTTGATTTTATCAATTATAACGTTAAATTTATGGTGAACACACTAATTCATTATATTTATACCTTGTATATCTTACTAATCATTTGATTAAAACATCATAAATTTAACGTTATGAACAATGGGATCAATATGTGACCACACTATATTTCGGTTACATTGGTCACATGATCACAAGGGTAGTTCTTGAAGTAGAAATAGCAAAATAAAGGTATTTTTGATAATGGCCCGATTCAGATTCTCATTTGAACCCTAATTACGAGAGAGAGAGAATTTGAGAATAAACAAAAAAAGTTAACACGAATGTGATAAATTACATGCTACAGCTTGGGACAGCTAATCGACCGGTGGCCATGCCCCAAAGCTCCAGCTGGAAAAGAATATTTTATTTTTTTTTATTGAAAACTAAAGATTTGAATGATAATAATTTTTATTTTGTATTTTTTATTTTACTTTTTGATTTTTGGTTTTTACATTTTTAATTTTAGTTTTTGGTTTTATAAATCCAAAAAAAAAGAGTTTTTTAGTTTTTATCATCAAAATTGTTTTCCAAATTTTTATTAAGAGTAATCACAAAAAAAAACCTTGTATTTATCTCATATCAACGAAAAAATCCTATATTTTTTTATTATCAATTAAACCTTATACTTAGTATGGATTTAAAAATTCACTGAAAATACCAGACGAATGTCAACTCAAACAAAAATGATGATGTAGTATTGACATGACATAAACACATCATCATAATTATACCACATAATCATTTCAAACAAAATTTAAATTAAATTAATATATATACATACAAATTCACATATATATATATATATTAAATATTAAATTATTTATAACTAATAAAAAAATATATGTATATCTACAATATATATTATAAATTATATTATAAATAATATATATATGCATATTATTTTTTAATATATATTGTATATATATATATATATATATTAGTTGTA